TAGGTGGGACGCCCATGACTAGAGCTGCCTGTAGCAGGAGGTGAGGGCCTGAGAGCAGTGCAACTGGAAACAGGGTTGTGGCCAGACACCACATCCTGAAGACAGCAAGGGGCTGACAAACCTTGAACAAACCACAGGTTTGAGTAATTAGGTTGTGCCTCATTCCTCCTTAAGGCAAACACTGGCTTGAATGTGCATTGAACTGGACAAGACTTACCACTGACCTCTTTTTACAAAAATCATCATCTTTACCTTGTGATGTTTGAATGTGGATAAAATTAGGCAGGTCTTCTTTTCTTTTTTTTTTGGCGGCGGGGGTGGGTGGGTGGGTGGGGTACTGGGGATTGAACTCAGGGGCACTTGACCATTGAGCCACATCCCCAGCTCTATTTTGTATTTTATTTACAGACAGGACCTCGCTGTTGCTGAGGCTGGCTTTGAACTCGTGATCCTCCTGCCTCAGTCTCCTGAGTCTCTGGGAATACAGGTGTGCGCCACTGTGTCCAGCCAGATCTTCTCTTCTTGCACAAAAGTGTTCCAATGCCCTGAGCTCCTGATTGGTCAGACAGAATATTTACAAGGCCAAGTGCAGCCAATTTAGACAGAAGCTCAGATGGCCTAAAAATAACTTTTGAGTTGAAACACAAAGGTTCAAAGCTGTCCTATGCTCTCTGGTTTCTGACTCTGAAGGAAACTGATAAGGGCTCCTAATTCTAAACCCCAAGAACTGAGGTGACTCAGGAAAGCGCTCATGTACCCTTGCTGTTTGTATACAGCCCACCAAAATGAATGATGACTTGCCTGCCCTTTAGACCACTGTCACTGAACCACTCCAAAGGAATTCTGGGGCCTGATTAAATATTACAGTTGATACTCACACAAGTATCAAGGAAACTTAGCACAAGTCAGGACCTGAACTGTAGGAAACACTTCAGGAGGCAGAGCGTGAGGGTCAGAGCAGAACACTTAGGAGATAAGTATTTGGCAGGTGATATAGGAAGTAATTAGAACTGAGGCAAGAGTGTTCAGACTCTTACAACACAAGTGGAACTTTGCCAAGAAGGATGGGAAAGATGAAGAAGAACTAAAGAAAACTCCCACTGATCTGAATAGGAAACTCCCAAGGGGCCACTTTTTACAGAGACCCTGCAAAATACTTTATTATTCTTGACATTTCAAGTAATGTTTTTGTTAGTCTTGTGTTTCCTGGTACTTCATTCCTTTTCTATCAGACACAACAATATTTCTTAGGAAAATGTAAACAAAACTTGTTTTTTTTTTTTAAATTTCAATTAGGAATACAAAATCCCTTAAATCATGAAGAATTTATACCCATGTTGCTGGATGACAAGTCAGCTTAATGAAGCTCAGGGCTTTCAAAGAGTGAAAAACAAAATGGCCTTTATTTCTTCTATAGTCAATTTCTGCTGCCTCAGAGTCTAGAACAGGAAACTCTGCCTGAATGAAATTAAAAGTACTTGAAACTGAATCCTGGTTTACTTCTCCTAAGTATCATAAGGTGCCATTATGGACCTGCAAGGAAAGCCAGTAATTTTTGCTTTCCAAGGCAGAGAAAGAGGTTATTTGAAAGCTACCTGACTAGTTGTGTCTACCTACCCCAAGCTACTTAACCTTTCCAGCCTCCATCACCCACCTCCAGGGCTCTTAACTGTAAGATCCCTGGCTCAGAGTGGTCTCTCACCAGGTGTTCTCTTCTTGTTCTTCCTTTTGCTTTCACAAAGCCTTTCGGAATCACTTTGACTCACTGTTTCCTCCCTAGAAAGGGCAGCATTTGAAGTCTGTATCACACATCACATATGAATCTAAATTCGTGGCTTGCTTGTGGAATCTTGTTCAAATTTCCAGAAATCCTAAATTATTTCATGGCTAACAGACTGCTTTCTGTGACCTCCGCACGCCATTGAGAACACAGAAGAAACTCTGATGAATATTTGTTGAGTGAATTGCACTGTTTAAGAAAAATATAGAGCACTAAAAATCAAGATTCTTAAGGAGGTAACAGCTCTTGGGAGCTGTCCTTGGCAGAGTCATTCCCTCCCTCCACTCCACCCCTGCCCCTTCCTTATTCCCTTTGTCTGGCATTCTAAATTGGAAAGAAAAGCAGCAGTTAAATCATTAAGATGTTAACTGCTACTTAACCTTTCTTGAGATTTACAAAACCCAGAATATTTGGTGATTTTCAGTGAATACGATGAGATGAGGAACACCCTTCCTGATTCTTTGATTCTATGCATCAACTAACACAAAACATATAAATTGTTGTGATGTTGAACTTGAAAGAAAGTAATATGTTTGTGACTATGACATTCCAGTCAGAGGGAGTGAGGGAAGGAGACACAAGCCCAAGAAGATCAGAAGACCAACCACCCCACCTTCACCTTCCTGCTTTGTAAAAGTCTACTGCCCATTGTCCCACTGCATTTGTATTCTCTCCTTACAAAAGCCCTTTTGTGTACCCTAGTTTTCCAAGATGGAGCTTTCAGCAAGGTAACCCCATCAGGGCTGGCTTCAATAAAACTGATTTCCTTTCCACCAACTTCCACCTCCCAAGTCTAGACTTTTGAACAGTGAACTGACAGACCTGGGTATGGTAACAAGGACTGGCAAAACTTATACCTATTCAGGTGCTTTAGTCCAGTAAATGATCTGCCAACAGTTCTGACTCTGGTTCAATGACTGCTCACATCTGTGGTAGATGTTAAGATGATCATCTTAACAGTGATCATTATCTACTGATATTTACTCTTCCTGCAACGAATCAGGTCTGGCTCTGGGTGACTAACAGAACACTGCAAAAGTGACAAGTGTTGACTTCGGAGATGTTTGTTTCTCAGGGTGTTTCTCAAGATTAAATAAGAATTGCATATAAAGCAAATAGCAGGAAGTCTGGCACCTAGGAAGCTCTCCTGAAATATGACACTTTATGGTGGTGATCTGAAAGAGGCTCTAGTAGCAGTGAGATGTGGATTTAGGATAAAGAGAAGCCCTGAATCTTAAAGGAAACACCCCGGAAGCCATTGAGATGTAAAAAGCATAGTAGTAAATCTTGAACAACAGGCCCCAGGCCTATGCACTTGTAAAATGAGGGAGAAATACCAAGCGTAGGAAAACTGGCGGCACCTCCCTGGATCCACCTCCTGTATGGCCCCTGATATGCCCTTCCATAAATATTGGACCCCACCCCCTACCCCAAGCCCAAATCCGGGCTGCTCCTCACTCTAGAGACAGCTCATATTCTTGAATGTGTTATCTACCTTCCTAAATAAACTCAGTCTCAGCCTTTGTCTGGCTCCTGAGTTGAGTTCCCTGTCTCCACTGGGAACGCCTTGGGACCCTTCTCTGGAGACATCTCTTCTCTGGAGACATTTCTTCTCTTGAGACCACAGCTGGTGAGTGGATGTGAGGCATGAGGGAAAGAGAGGAATCCAGGAAGAGCCCTAGGTTTTTGGCTTGGATGACTGAAGGAGCCCATGGTTGTGTATCATACACTGAGTTTTTGGGACAATGGAAGAAGAAACAAGGGCACCCTGGCCCCCTGCCAAAGATTCTTAAGCTCCAATTGGAAATATTAAAATGATCTTTTATTAGTCACTGAGAAACTACATTCCATTTCCATTCTTTTCTAAATTACTTCAAGCTGCATTTTTTTTTTAACTTTGGTGGTGTTAGGAATTGAACCCAGGCACACAGCTCTACCATTGAGCTACACCCTTAGCAACACCAGTTTTTGCTCTAAGTGATTCCTTCCAGGAACATGAGAAATTGCTGAAGTAAAAATTATGGGAATTCTAGAAACCAAATTTCTACAGTTAATAGCCATGTACCCTGGATGAATCACTACTTTTTTTTTGGTACCAGGATGGAACCCTGGGGCACTCAACCACTGAACGACATCCCCAGCCCTTTTTTTTTTTTTGTATTTTATTTAGAGACAGGGTCTCACAGAGTTGCTGAGGCTGGCTTTGAACTCTCAATCCTCCTGCTTCCACCTCCCAAGCTGCTGGGATTACAGGCCTGCGCCACCGCGCCCGCCTAACTACTCTTAATTAAATGATGGCAAGCATTGCAAAGATGCACAGCAGCAGGACAGACTCCAGAAACTTCAGAGAGTTTTCACTTTTGCTTTAGAAAAAAATATTAGCAAACATCAGAGGGAATTTATGCAATAGACATGAAATAAGGTTTATGTGTTGGGGGTTATGAGAAGTGGCAGAGTGCTTCTATTAATTTTAAATGATTTACTAATAACTAAAGTGTTCAGACTTGATAAAATTAGATTTCTGTTCTCTGTTCTCCTTTTCAGACTCCCACTGGTTTAACTACCATAGGAAGATAGTGCTTGAGGCAAGTCTGACTCCCCAGCTGTACACGCTTGGCTTTCATTTGGTTAGTAGTTCACTGACTGACTAAAAATATCATATATAAAATTGGTCTCATAATTCTTTAGGTTGTAACTATTCATTTGATCTGAGGCCCACTTGCTACTTCGCAGGATTCTCCAAATTCATTGCAAATGCTCCAAATAACATACTGAACCCAAAGCCCAAGGTGCAGTCTGTACTGACAGGGAGCCTCTCTGGGCCTCAGTTTCTTCAACCTTAAAACAAAAGATCTCAACTCAGACATGGTTATGAAATTCTAGTTCAGTTCTATGATACTTGATTCTGGGAAGCTGCTCTTAAGAAAACTTGGAGTGTGTTTGCCTCTATTCTCAGTACAGCAAATAAGCCACCCAGAAGGGATATTACAGATAAGTTTATGAACACATTTGTACTAATATTTTATTGGGTTCCCTCTATCACTGTGTCACATAAAATTAAGTAGCTATGGGGAATTACACCTTTGAACTTAACTGCAGCCAATCATGCTTCATAAAGCTGAGGTGTAAGTAGTTCATGAAATAATCATAAGGAAGTAATATATCTACATATATATATATTTCACATCAACTTCCTCTCACTACAGAAATAGAGAAATGAGGGCTTTTTTTGAGGAGGTGGTTGCTACATTTACCATAACTATTGAATTTCTTCAATGCTCAGTTTAATTTCCTTTTTCCCCCCACTGTAGTTGGTGTCAAGCAAGACTCTATTTACATTGACTAAGGATACTGGAAGCGTGAAGATCAGAGAGTTGTAAGTCTGAAATTTGCATCACGACCTTGAACCATATAACCTTAATTGGCATAAACAGACAGGTAAGGGTAATTATTTATTAATTATAGCTTATAAATTTGTTTTATAAGAACTCTAACAGGTATAAACTGTTTACACTTTGAAAACTGATCATTAGGAAAGGTAATGAGTGTATTTATGTAGATAAATATTAGTAGTGAATTGTAGAACTTACTTTTTTCATTTGTCAAATCAGTAGACACAATGTCTACACGAGTAACTTGACAGGCATTCTACTGAGGCAAATGCTGACTTGACATTTTCAGGAAAGCAATTCTGTATCTGTAACATGTCATTTTGATTCTATTTAAATGTAATAGTATTTCCCAAATTTTGAAAACAATTTAGCTAGTAGCTTTAAAAATCAAAGTTAATTTTAAAGGACAGGTACACAGGAGACACAAATTTGTGAACTAAACATTGTGAACTAATTATCCTTTGCTACCTTGAGGTTCCTGCAGAGACTCACATCATCTGTCCGATGAAGCTAGCTTCTGCCAGAGTCTTTTACCTTCCTTTTGTTCAGGAGCTTTTGCTATTGATATTCATAGTGAGGCACCTTTCCTTTTGCTGTTTTTAGTATGTTTTGTATTATCCACACAAGGCAGGGGCTGGTGTTTTTCTTTAATATCATCATGAAAGGAAGCTCCATTCCTTATGGAAAATCAAAATCTACTTTGAGCAGATAAATTTTTCTTAAGAAATAAACTGGCTCACTTCATTCTCTATTTGACTGATTTTTAAATCAGTGAAGTTACAGATTAGGTTTTATATAACTGCATCTACACTGCAATTCTCCAGATACAAACTCATTCTGAAGCATATGGACTGTTTTCTAAATAAAAATCACAACAAAATAAATAAAATGATGAAAACAGTGGTAGGCATTAATTAAGGGTCTCAGTGTTTGAACCTACTCTGCACAGCTCTTAAATTTTTGTCTTTGAGTGTGGATTGTGTGGCTTAAAAAGTCATTTTGAAATTATGATATCATATTTGGAAAAAATGCCTAGTTTTGTAAAAATTGACATAATTTTAAAGATGCAGAAAATTAATAAAACCATGATCTGAAGAGGGGTACAGACTAAAAAAGCCCTGAGGGGCTGAGGGCTGAGACTGGTGTATGGTAAAATTTTCATGCTTATCAAAATAGAATGCAATGTTTTTGTTTTGTTTTAAAAAATTGAGAAACCCTGCTGTAGACTGTGAAAGAGTGGAGAATGTGGTGCCCAAAAAGCAATGGTGAAAAACAGAGAAATGTGGCACATTCTAAACAGAGATTATGATTTTTATTTGGCCAGAATCCAGTAACTTGTCTTTGTTATTATTGCCTAAAAAAAATAAGGAAATAAGGAGAAAAGTAAGAATGAAAATGGGTTTGTCATTCTTTAGCACTTCATGTGTACTATGCAAGAAAGATTAAAAATAAGACTTCCAAAAGCAAAAAACTATACCTGCGTTTATCCTGTGATTAGAACAGCATATCCTCCAAACAAATTTAAAACTCTGAAGAACCCAGATACTAAATTACACATGAGGACACATGAGGGCGCTCTAGTCAACAAGCACAGCAACTACAATTTTGACATAATTTTAAAGTCAACTTCTTATTGAAGTATGGCAGTTTAGCATTAACTAGTTGAAATGAGAAATTACTGATGCCCTTTGGCAATGATCCTCGGATTTTGGAGTCTATCCTTGGTCGCTATGATTTTCTTTTTTAAATTCAGGTTCTTAGTTTTTGTTGATGAGGAATTGAATTTACTTCTGAACTATGAAAAGGGACTCTTTATAGTATTGGATTATAGAGAAGTGCTTTAACCTAGCCAGGAAAACTATTTGCATGTAACTAATATATTTTAAAAAAAAGTCTTATCTTTTTGGTACTAGGGATTGAACTCAGGGGCGTTTACCACTGAGCTACACCCTCAGGCCTTTTCTGAGATGGTCTCTCATAAATTGCAGAGGCTGGCCTTAGACTTGTGATCCTCCTGCCTTGGCCTCCCCAGTCACTGGGATTACAAACTGTGCACTGCTGAGCCCAGCTTATCTCTTCTTAAATGTGGAACAAAATACTTTTGTAACACCTTCCTTTGACCAGCACGTATTGTTGCATGTACCTTAAATTTTTTAAAATTACATTTCTAGGCAAAATGTGTCATCACTTACTTATACATTGCTTTATGATCTAAGAACTGTAAATTCTGCCAAAGTCAGGTGATAAATCTCAGGCATTTATATCCTTGCATCAAATTTTGTTTTTTAGACAAAAGCACTATCCATCATAATAAGAACACTCCATTTGTATTTCAACTGGACAATTGTGATTAGAAAAGGTAAGAAGCAAGCCATCTGCACGTTCGTTTTCCATCCAATACATTTTGTAACTATTGCTTTTTTTATGATCTGGCTTACATTCTATCCATAATTTGAATATTAAATATCTGCAATTCTGTTCTAGCTCCTGGGACAAATTCAAAAAAATCTGATATAAATGAGGAACAATTCAACATGCATTCAACCATCTATGATCTCTTCCACGGCTCTGCCAATCATTTATACCTTGCTTTGTATTGTTGGTCTCTTTGGAAACTCACTTTCTCAGTGGGTGTTTTTAGCAAAAATAGGCAAGAAAACATCAACGCACATCTACCTGGCACATCTCGTGACTGCAAACTTACTTGTGTGTGGTGCCATGCCTTTCATGGGTATCTATTTCCTGAAAGGTTACCAATGGGAATATCACTCTGCACAATGCATAGTGGTCAACTTTCTGGGAACGCTGTCCATGCATGTGAGTATGTTTGTCAGCCTCTTAATTTTATGTTGGATTGCCATAAGCCGCTATGCTACCTTAATGAAAAAGGATTCCATGCAAGGACCTACATCCTGTTATGAGAAAATATTTTATGGCCATTTATTGAAAAAATTTCGCCAGCCCAACTTTGCCAGAAAACTGTGCATTTATATATGGGGAGTTGTCCTGGGCATAATTATTCCCGTTATCATATACTATTCAGTCGTGGAGGCTACGGAAGGAGGAGAGAGCCTGTGCTACAATCCACAGATGGAACTAGGAGCCATGATCTCTCAGATTGCAGGCCTTATTGGAACCACGTTTATTGGATTTTCCTTTTTAGTAGTGCTCACGTCATACTACTCTTTTGTCAATCATCTGAGAAAAGTAAGGACCTGTACATCCATTGTGGAGAAAGATCTGACTTACAGTTCTGTGAAAAGACATCTTTTGGTTATCCAGATTCTACTCATAATTTGCTTTCTTCCATATAGTATTTTTAAACCCATTTTTTTTGTTCTGCACCAGAAAGGGGACTGCCAGCAATTGAATTATTTAATAGAAATAAAAAACGTCCTCACTTGTCTTGCTTCAGCCAGAAGTAGTACAGACCCCATTATATTTCTTCTATTAGATAAAACATTCAAGAAGATACTATATAATCTCTTTACAAAATCTAATTCACCGCATATACAACCATATGGTTGACTTCTGGATGGAAAATGCCATGAAACAGGAAGTATTCATGTGACTCTGTTAGGGACACTAACCTAAATGATTAACATGTCATAGCTTGGTTGATGGCAGGCACCAAGGAAGCCTCTCTGTTTTTTTAAAATAAGTAAATATATCCATAAAACTCGATTTATGCTGAAAGTTGAGATGGCAGAGATTTTCAGAGGTGAAAGTCAAACATACTGAAAGGATACCACTGTATATGAAACCAACCGACCATTTTCTGTTTGAACTCTATTGTGGATCTTCTGTTCAGAACACAGTATTTCATGACTGTAGGATAAAGAAGCAAATGGTTTATGGATGTCTGCTTTGTATGAAGAATACAGGAGTCCATCTTAGAATGCAAAGGTTAGCATTTGTTTGTTGGTAACATAAAAAACTTTAGGAATGAGTACAAGAAAAAAAAAAGAAATGTCCTCACTTAAGTCTTGTCAAAGTGCATGAATAATACAGTATAAAAATCCAAGGTTTTATAAACATTTTTATTTGAAATTATTTGACTCATGTTACTGGGAGAGGCAATATTCATTGAGCAGATATTACAAATATGCTTAAATATTTGGATTAGGCTTTGTCAAAATAAAAAGCTAAAATAATGTCATATGCCCATTTTCATCACATTGTGTATTTTCCTCTATATCTAATATAAAAATGTTACTAATGATTGGGCTGAGATTGTGGCTCAGAGGTAGAGTGCTCGCCTAGCAAGGGTGTGAGCCGGGTGCGATTCTCAGCACCACATAGATTCTCTCTCTCTTTAAAAAAAAGTACCTGGCACGTAGATATGTTCAATTAATTTTGTGAAGTGAATGTATGATAAAGCAGCATTCTAGTTAAAAAGATTGGTCCCTAATTCAGACTCCCTGGGTTCAATCCTGGTTCCATATCTTATTTAGCTGGACAATCTTAAGCAAATTACTTACCCTTTTTACATGTTAATTTCTTCATTTGTAGAACAGAAAATATTACCTTATTCATAGGTAGTATTTAAAATCAGATAATGTTGCTTGGCACTTGCTATGTGCCAGGTACTTTGCTTACATGCTTAACACGTATTATTTTAATCATCACAACCATCAATCATCACCATAAAGTATGCCAATTTACTTGCTGATGAAAAAACTGAAGTGCATAGTTAAGTAAGCCCTGATTTTCTCCAGTATCTAAGCAAATATTAAGAAGTAAGCATTTCTTAATGGTCATTTCTTTCTTCCATGTAAATCTAGTCAGTAAGACAAATGATGGTGACTGCATTCTGTTATCATATACATTATAATTTTTTAAAAAAGTAAAAAAAGTAAATGTGTTTGGATCAAAAGCATCTTTGGAGTTATAATCAGTTTTCTATTAACTTTTTTCTCCACATGGTAATTCCTTCAGTGATCAAGGAGAAGTTTAAAGTAAGTTCACATGATACTTCCAAGTCTTTAATTTCATAGCATGTTTTGTTCCTGAATTACAACTGTAGAAGCAATTCACTGTATAGATTCTCTAAGAGCCATGTTTAAAATCATTAGAGGTGGTTCTGACACTTTTGTGTGATTTTCATTAAAAACCAATACTAAAAAAGTAAATATTTGTTTTCCTTTTTATTTCAGTGTTTAACTGAGAGATTAAAATGTTCAGAGAAAATTCTGAACACATTCCAGCTTTCAGTATTTAACAGAATATATCTAGTCTTTTATAGTAGCCATCAGATTTCTGGTTCAGTAATTTTCAGAGACAGAGAAGACCTGGAAATCCTAAGTGTATGCTGGCTGTAAATGGAGGTGTCCATTCTAGTGACTTTCTAGACATGTGAATCAGAATAACTCAAAGTCCACCACAAAAGTTCCTGAGATGCCCAGAATTTTCCACAGTTATAATAAGCAATAAGAGGAACTGAGATGATCAGTAATTTTCATCTGACACTATACTATATTAAATTTCACTGTACTTAGGAGTTTAAAAAATATGTACTTCTAAAAATAATTTAAAAAAATCACTTTATAGATAATCTACCCACTACTTTAAATAAAAGATGTTATCAAAGTAGAGTTTCCTGGGCTGGGGCTGTAGCTCAGTGGTAGAGGGCTTGCTGAGCACACATGAGGCACTGGGTTTGATCCTCAGCACCACATAAAAAACAAAGGCATTCTGTCCATCTACAACTATAAGAAAGTTAAAAAAAAAACAGTAGAGTTTCCTACATTTAAAAAGGCAGCAAAAAAAGGTGTGCACAATTTCTCTGAGTTACTTATTCTTTTTTCATTGGTCCTTTTTAGTTATACATGACAGATTTCATTTTGATAAAATTATACAAGCATGAGCTATCTTATTCTAATTAAGACTGCATTGTGGATGTACACAATGGTGGGATTCACTTAGATATTTCAAATTATTCATTCTGATAGAAAATGCCATGTATTGAACTATATACTGAGCTTACATATTATAATCATTTTTTATTTTGAATATTTTATGATCATGTTTATCTTTATACCACAGATGCTTCCCTAAACAGCAGATTGTAAACCATGTTGAGTTTTTTTTTTGTTTAAATGGAATTGAAAAATTGGCTATTTAATGTCACAGTGTATGTTTTATATAAAAAATCCTTTTCTAAATTTACTCCAATTTTAAAGTTTGGATTTCAGAAAAATGATATTTTTAACTTGTTTGTGAGTTGTAGTCAACCACAAATTTGGGATTTCAAAAATCCTGAATTTTGACTTACAGGTCAACAGGATTTTCTTTTAACTAGGAAACAGACATGACATGTTTATTTCCCCTTTCATTCTTCCTATATACATACTTTCATTAAAGCAGATTTCAAACTATTAATCAGGAACACAAACCATTAAGACTATATAAACAAAATTCAGGATGACTACCCAACCTGGAAGTGAGTTTGTCCTCTGTGGGTGGAAGAGGAAGATGGTCCATCTGGTTCTAATTTGGTGAGGACTCTTGGCCTATCCCCTGCTTTGCAGATTGCAAGGGTGGAAGCTGTTATAAATAAACATGTGAAGACCACGGAAAGAGAAGCTTGCTGGCAAATCATAAAAGGAACACAAAAGGGACATTGGTAATTTGTTAAGCATTTCAATTATGCAGCGTAATGCTTGGAACCTTCCTCTGATGGTCCCCAAATTCCAATGGAATTGATATCATTGGAGAGAGTTCCTATAGCTAGAAAGGTTTTTACACCTGGCAGAAAAACCTCTTTGGCCACATGATACCACCCCTGGTTCAGGAAAGAAGCAGTGAAAGGAGGCACTTCTAACAAGAAAAACATTTATCCCTTTTCCCCCATAAATCAAGGAGTTTTGGTATTTAGAAGGGTAGATGGGAGGATAAAAAGCATACATAGGAGTTAGAGATGCAAGATAACATCATATTCAACAATCTTACAGAAGTAATGCCTGAGGATTAACAGTGTGCTTTTTTTTTTTTTTTTTTTTTTTTTTTTGGTGCTGAGGATCAAGGCAAGCACTCTACCAACTGAGCTATTTCCCTAGCCCCAACAGTGTGCTTCTTATCATAAGGAATAAAAGAAGTAAGTTTGGGTTCTAATGAGAAAAATTTATTTTATACAATATGAAGGACTTTGGGGAGTCATGGTCACAGATATCAAAGAAATGTCAGCAACCAAAGGCAAGAGGAAGGAATACTTTAAGAAATCCACAATGCCGTGGCAAGCAGTGTTATATGATGAACAGGCATTTATAATATAAGTCAGACCATCAGAAGGTGAAAGGAGAACTGAGACCAGAAGGGGAGCGAAGGGCAGCCAGGCGTGTTGACACATGTTGTGAGGAAAACCATTTATAGGAAGCATACCCAGAAACAATTGGGCGGGAGGCCTCTGGCTAGTGTATGTGCACCGTGAGTTTCCACAGTTTTGAGAACTAAAAACTGAGCACCTAAACCTCCTGGGCATAGGCCCTGTTCAAAATAGAAAGCAGTGTAGCAAGCAGTTGTGCTCCCAGAGGAGCTGCTTCACTTCAACTTTATTAAAACTGTACCTGAGTAGGTCAGAGTGACAGAAAGGCCTACGGAATGCTGAGGTTCTGCACATCCAGGTGGTGCCTTGTGGGGCTGCCTGCAAGAGTTAGGAGAGCCCAGAGAATTCCACAAACTGTGTGCTTAGCAGAGCCAGCAAAGGCAGGCAAGGAGCCAGCAGATGCATTTACTTGGACGACTGTGCAAATTTTCTCCAAAGTTCTTTTAATTTAGGGATGAGAGGAAGAAAATAAAAACATAATGGAAATTTTCTCATCCTTTCACAAGAAAAAAAAAGAATTAAGGGAAGAAGATGACAGAAAAAAATGGAAATTTGCATGCATGCCTTAATTAATGTCTGAGAAATATTATGACAATGGGTCTTAACCAGGGCCAATTTTGTGCCCCAGAGAACATTTGGCAAAGTCTGAAGACTTATTCAGTTGTCACAACTGAGAGGAGATGCTATTGGCTTGGATGCTGAGAAGTTTTGCTACAATACCCAGGATAGCCTTTCACTACAAGTTTCTGGTCCCAAATGTCACTAGTGTGGCTGTTGGGAGAACTTGTGTTATGATGACATGTCTCCCTGAATTTCAAAGAATTGTACCATTACTTTTTGTTGTATGTGGTACTGGGGATTGAACCCAGGGGAGCTTTACCACAGAACCACATCCCCAGCCCTCTTAATTTTTTAAAAAATTTATTTTGAGACAGGATTTCACTGAGTAGCTGAGTCTGGCCTTGAACTTGTGATTCTTCTTGCCTCAGCCTCCCGAGTCTCTGGAATATAAAGGCATACACCACCATACCTGGCTTATCATTATTTTTAATGCAATTTCATGTGAAATTGCTTCTCCAAAGCAAGCAGGTTCCATTACAGGTCACATGGTCTGTACACTCAAATCTAACAATCCTTTTTAGACTCAAGTATGATGATTTCAAAAAGAAATGCCCAAGTAAAGAAAAAAGTACTATTAATCAATATAATGGTGGGACCTTTGAGAAACTGCATGCTTTTAACTCTTATGGTAAGAATTATGAGAATGGGAAAGAGAGAAATGCATTGTTAGGAAAGGTTTACAATGACCCCTATGTGGGAATACCTCCATAACCAGGTCCTCAATCAAACTAACTTTACCTAAATTACCCAAGTCATATTAGTAAATCCTGTTGACACAACTTTTGAGATATATCTGGAATATAACTGCTTTTCTTTTTGTTTAAACCACTTCCACTGCTGCCTCTCTGGTCTAAGTTGGCTTGGGGAGGGATGCAGGGTGGAGGGGGAGGTTTGTGGCTTGTCTCTTTACTCTCGCCTTTGTTCATTTTGCCCCAGCTATACCTGCTCCTTGCTGTTCCTCCGCTGGGCTACTTGAGTTCCTGTCTTGGCACCTTTGCACTGGCTGTATCTTTACCTAGAACATTCTCGTCTTAGATATCAGCTCAGTCCCTCCCTTGCCTCCTTCAAGTCCTTGCTCAGATGGCATATTGTCCCTATTCTAACACTCCCTGGCCTTGTGGCCCCTCTTTTTATTTCCCTGAGTCCTTTTCATATTCTAGCCTACCCTATAGTTTCCTTATTTCTGCTTATTGATTGTTGTCTGTCTTGGGCTGGGAGTGTAGCTCCAGGGTAGAGCCCTTGTTTAGCACGTGTGAGGCCCCAGGCTTGATCCCCAGCACTGCAAAACCCAAAACAAACAAACAGTGATTATTGTCTGTCTCTTCTGAACTAGAATGTCAGTTCCAGAAAGGTAATGATTTTGTCTGCTTTGTTCATTGACTAATTTCCAACTCCTAGGACAGTGCCTGCCACACAGCAGGCTGTCAGTAAATATCTTTTAGATGAATGTCTTAAGAAAATACACCAAAATTCAACATTGCTGATTAAGTAAATTGTGAGTATTCCATTTACCTATGCAAAATGTATAGATTCCAGGTATTGAAATATCAAGAATAACAACATGAATATGCACTCTGTGTTGAGTCTCCCTGCTGACTTAAAAAAAAAGGTGTTTTTTTTTTTATTAATTTGCAGTTTGAGAATGACTTCTTTTTCCTTCCTCAGCAGGATTCTGGGTGCTTCCTAAAAATTATTTGGCATGTACTTTAGAAATAATAAACTAATCCAATGCAAAACTGAGGTCTTTGCACACACTGTTCCTTCTCTATGAAATGTCCTCTTGTCTCCATGTAACAACCCCATGACTCAAGACCAGGCTCCAACATGACCTCCTCCATGAAATCCCTCTACCTTGTATAATAATTATTTGTTCACCTGTTTATAAAGATGACCACCAACAAGTTCTTCTGTTTTTGTGTACATCCACACTACTCCAAACAAAAGATGAAAGCAGTGGAAGAAGAGAGTCAGTGAGGGAGGAGGGGAGAGGAAGCGGAAGTACTAGGGACTGAACTGGAGCACATTATATTCCATGCATGTATGATTAAGTCAAAAAGAACCCAAGTATTATGTACCACTACAATGTATTAATAAAGACATTTTAAAAAGATGAATCTATTTTTCCTCCCCTTGAACCCAGGTTAGCCTTATGATCATTTTGGGGGAAGGGGGATTGAACCCAGGGGTGCTCTACCACTAAGCTGCATTCCCAGTCCTTTCTTTCTTTCGTTTTGAGACAGAGTTTTGCTAAGTTGCTCGGGGCCTTGCTAAGTTGCTGAGGCTGTCTTCAAGCTTGCAATCCTCTTGCCTCAGCCTCCATAGTCACTGGGATTACATGTGTGTGCTACTGCATTTGGCACTTGATGACCTTTTTTACGACTGATAGGATTAATTGAATGCAGAGGATGTGACACAGTACAAATTCCAGACCCAGGTTTCAAGAAGCCTGGCAACTTTCCTTTTTGCTCTTTTGGAGCCCTGAGCCACTCTCCTGCTGGAGAAGGGGCCATGTGGAAAGAGTAAGAGAACTCACTGAATGAGAGACAATGAAGAGGGCCTGTCTAGCTCCCCGTTGTTCTAGTCTGCTCAGCTGAGATGCCAGAAAACTGAGGGAAGCCTCTGTGGAAACTAGCCATGCTGCCTTAGCCAATGGGTAACAGAACTGAGCTGTCCCCACTAAACTCTGCCCAAACTGCAGAACCATGAGTAGATAATGACAGTTGTTGTTTCAAGTCACCAAATTTTGGTATGTGTTGATCTACAGTAGTTGATGAAAGATACACACTGCCTTATCTCCTTCTCGAGACCATAATCCTTTTAGGTCTCCAAGCACAATATTCTGTATGAAGTAGGCGCTCAAATATTTGTTGAATAAATAAGTCAGAATATAAATTAGAAGGAGAAGTCAAATATAACTACTTTTGGATTTTATTTGGTTTGGAGTTGTCATTATAGCAAATATCATGGCTAATCAAAAGCTGACTATGTTATTGAAAGTATTCCAGTGGAGTGCATTGTCAATCATGATTTATTACATCTTGCTGATACAATTATCTTTCAAGAACAGAATTCATGCAAAACGAAATTGCCTCTTGAGTGAAACAGTTCTAACCCAATGCTATTACATCATTTTTTGAATATATTTTATAATATACATAGATATATTTTACTTTATATGTACCTTCTCATACTCATTAAATGCAAAAGAATCACACAGCATGCTATTAAATTTGATAACTCCCCTCCCTCTTTACCTTTCCATACTCCTTACTCTGTGGTAACTGACAAATTTGTTTTTATAAAAGTGGTAGGCAACCATTGGTTTGTTCAGTATTGCATTCTTACAACAGGATCAATTTCCTATCACCATATTTAAAAAGAACAAATAAGATACTATACACTAACTTACACTAATATGTATTTTGTACATTCTCCAATGATTTTCATTTGCTGTTTTAATATTCTACTAGCTGGTTCTGGAATTGCTCATGCTTTACCTCAGCTTTTAACTACAAGAATTTCTGTTAAAATAAACTCTACTTAATTTTTTTAGCCATTTAAAATACACTGAAAAAGCCAGGCCTTTAGTAGTATGTGTTGAAGGAAGAAGCACCATGTCTCTGGGTGCTGGGGGTTAGAGAGAGGCCAGCAACAAAATATCAAGAGTCTGAAAGTAGAGCTGGAGAGACCTAAGAGGCTCCCTGTTGAATCTCAGTCTTGGAAGGGGCTGGAGGCCAGGAGAAGGGCTCACTGGTCCTTTCTGGATTGCCTTTATATTTTGGTTGAAAATGTTAAAGAGCCAGGGACTGAGAGTTCTCATTAACTTGATACTAGGATGGAATGGGCAGAAAGAGTGAATAATGATCATACTTATATTCTAAGGGTACAAACTATATTGGATCTATAATTATGATTTCACACTATGTTTAAAAACTACCTGCAAAGAAAATGCAATGCTGACTGTTTTACATTGTAACATTATGAAAATGTAAGTGTGTGGTTAACTTTTACTACATTAACCAAATTCTAATTTTCCCCTCAATTAACTCACTGTAGGATGGAGTTTCATTTTTCCTATTTGTTGGATTTTTCATTTCTTTCTCTCACACAATGGCAAAAGAGGAATAATGAAATGTTAGATTGTATGCAATCTTTAATAAAAAGAAGGAAACTGAAATTATAAGGTGTTCCTATTAAGAATCAGTATAATGACTTTCTCAATACAAAGCAGCTAAATACCTTTTTTTATTTGCAAATAAAATTAGATGTAAGATGCTCTCTATGAAAGTATTAAAAATTTCTGATTATTGTCATTTACTATGTCAATTTCTCTTCATAAAATTAAAATTAGTGATAAGAATGACTTACCTTCACATCTCTGTGAATTATGTTATTATCATGACAGTAGCGTAGAGCTTCCAGTATCTGTCTCATGTAATGGCTGTAGAAAACAAAAAAAATTAAAGAAATTTAAAGCTGTAAAAATTTTTTATTTTTAAAACTTAATACACAGAGTCCCTAGTTCATAACTCCCACCTTTATTTTAGCTGCCTATAGACATCTTTATGTGAGCAGAAAAGAAAGTGAACTTAATGAAAAAGTTGGCAGACTCATGAATGATGAGCTTAATGAAAAAATAATATGTTCTATATTTTCTAAGCCAGGTCAAGAGAATTTCATAGAGTTCATAAGTAAAATTGCTCTGCAAACTAAAGATTAAAACGTAAAACATGAAAAAACTTCTAAAATTCAATTCTATTTAGTTAAACTGGATTGCTATTAAGTAAGCCGTGCACAAACTATCTGGAAGATTCTAACCAAAGGGGGGGGGCCTTCTGTATGCCACCACAGTGGACATTCTGCCTTGTTCCTATTTACCTCTGAGGACAAATGAGGGAAGAGCCTCCTATGTGTACAATTTCTCTTTGTAATCTAATCAGGTTTTAGTTGGGGCACTCTTGAACAAAGCAGGGTTAGTTCTAGGCCCATGTCCTGGGAAGTCTCAGCCCTCACATGGCCAGCTGGAGTCTGCTGAAATTCCTCCACTGCGGACAGGTGAAGAACAAAGAAGGAGTTAACATTTCTAAAAAAGTCACTAAAATGTGGAAACAGGGTCAACTAGCAACAGTGTGTGATCAAGAGTACAAATGATCTTTGACTTATGATGGGGTTGAAGCTGTATAAACCCATCTTAAGTTAAAAATACTGTAAATTGAAAATGCATTTAAACCAAGCATGGTAGCACATGCCTGTAATCCCAGCAGCTCAGGAGGCTGAGGTAGGAGGATTATGAGTTCAAAGAAAGTTTCAGCAATTTAGTGAGACCCTGTCTCAAAATATAAAATAAAAAAGCTGAGGATGTGGTTCAGTGGTAAAGTGGCCCTGGGTTCAATCCCTGGTTAAAAAAAAAAAAACAACACAAAACAAAACCAAAAACCAAAAAAATATAAACGAAAAACCCCCCAAATCTTCGTTCAATGAAGCATCATGGTCCCTGCTTTACAGAGAAACTCAGCAATATATATGTTTGTGTTCACCTTCCCTAAGGATCAGGAAAGATGGTAATTCCATGCAAGGAAAGAACTGGCCAGCAATCTATTTAAGTGAATCTATTTATTTATTAAATAAGTATAATTATTTAATAAATAAATGAGTCTATTTATTTAAGTAGGCATTATCAGGGGTGGAGAGTGGTGGAAGAAAAGAAGAGGTGACTCAGTCTACTCTCCTTGTCAACTCTGGGTAAAAAAGACTAATGCTATTTGCCATGCAGAAGACACTTTATCTCTGAAATGTCCTTAACAGAATGTTCCTGGCTAAGATTATCTATGGTAAATAAAACCTGGGATTTTTGAGGCATAGATGGCTTCCTGGAGAATGTCACATAAGCTATCCATCTCTCTTGGGAATAAAACGGAGATGTTTCATAATTGAAATGCTTCTCTGTGTATGTAGAATCCCACAAACCTTGGATAGAGACTTAATCTATTCTGGGCCAGGGTGCATTACTGATGCAGGAAGAAATGATGTGGAGAGCTATCCTTGACAGCCCAGGCCTCTTTCTGCTTCAGCTGAGCCTTTTGATTGCCTGTATCCTTGAAATTATTCAGTAAAGCTTGGTACTTGGTAAAAAGATCTCTCTGATTTGCAAGAGTTTGATTTGATAATCTGATTCCATATGTTAGCTCACTCCACAACTCATCACCCCTGAAAGGACAGAGGTAATCACTAATTGGGCTGTACTAAGTGCTGAGCAGATTTTTATTTGATGCCATGCTTTGCTGCTCCTCTTGAAACTCAGCCAGTTGGGGAAAAACAACATTAGCAATTTCATTACTTGGTGTCTCAGAGTCTTCTTGCAGTTGGTCTCACTAGAATACTGATAAAAGCTGAATTTCCTAACAATGAATCTCAGAAACAGAAGAGAGAAAGGAAGGTTAGGAATCATCTGGCCAGACACAGTACACAAAAGGAAGAACCATGTGCCCTTGTTACATGGTCATTGATGATCTGCAATAGGGAACATACCTAATAATACTGTCTGGGCCTCTCCCCTGCTTTTTTTTAAAATTTGTTTTAATTAGTTACACATGACTGTACAATGATCTTGACATATCATACATTTGAATCAGATATGTATATATGTGACTGCATGACCAATGTGATTCTGCAACCTGTACACTCAGAAAAATGAGAAATTATACTCTCCTGCTTTTTTTTAATAAATTGTATCCAAATCTCTCTCTGAGCAATGTCACTTAGTGGTCTCAATGCTACTCTTTTATGGTCCATTCTGGAAAGTTCCTTTCATAAAATCACCGTTTTAACAGCAAATACAAATGGATTTAAAAGTCAACAGGCTTTCATTTTGAAATATAAAATCTGCCCTTTCTATAAATCTCAATATTGGGAGAGACCATAGTATTCTTTCATTGTACGATGTCACCTTTGCATGAGATCATCCTGCCCAGTCCAGTGGAAAAGAGAGGCTTGAAGTTAAGGGAAAGCTAAGAAAAGGTAAGAAAAAAATGGGGAACAGAGTAAAAGTAATACTGGTTTAATATCAGCTTTGTCAACATATATGCCAGATATCCTGGTTACCATGGCTCAAAAAAGAAAAAAAATATCTTCTTCCATTGAGGAAAAACATTTTAAAAGAATCACAATTCTGAATTTTTGGCTTTCCTTATTTTATGCTATGCTGCCCTTGGAAAATTGCAATATAGACAAGTAGGATTTTGGGAGGTGGGTACTTAACCCAGGGGCACTTTACCACTGGGCCACATTCCCAGGCTTTTTCATTTTTTATTTTGAGGCAGTCTTATTAAAGTCTTGAAGGCTTCACTAAGTTGCCGAGGCTGGCCTCAAACTTGTGATCCTCCTGCTTCATCCTCCTGAATTGCTGGGATTATAGGCATGTGCCATTGCACCTGGCAAAAAGTAGCAAAGGCAAGTTACTTCAACTTACTTAAAAATACACACAAATGCCAGGCACGGTGGTGCATGCCTGTAATTCCAGCGACTCAGAAGGTTGAGGAAAGAGGATCATGAATTCAAAGCCAGCCTCAACAACTTAGCAGGGCCCTAAGCTTCTAGTGAGACCCTACCTCTAAATAAAATACAAAAAAGGGCTGGGGATGTGGCTCAGTGGTGGAGTGCCCCTGAGTTCAATCACTGGTACAAAAAAAAAAAAAAAAAAACCAAACATATAAGCAATAATATGCAAAAGACTGAGAATTTCATTTTGTCATATAAAGTGATTTACAGCTAGGCCACAAGAAAATCAGGATAGCATTGACTATTTTTGGTATTAGAGAAATTTTTAAGAAATTTTGAGGTACAAGAAAAAATATGAATTTACAATTGTGATAGGAGCCCAACAATAGCAAGCGGGACTTAAAAAGAGCATGACACAAAAGAGGACATTTAGCTTTGGTTTTAAGATGTTATCAGGAATCTAAAGAAATAATTATAGTTAACATATATAAACTTTCATTTGCTGTTTCTCTCTAGCCCCAGTAGTGTAGGAAAGCAGCTTTCCTACAGTGAGCATATTCTTTACTCTGTGCTTTAGCCATGGTTGCTCCATCTTTGAGACTGGGGTCCTTGCTCCCTAGACAGGATGATTCAGGGCAATGAATTTGAAGACAGTCAAGTCATTTAGGGTTCAAAGTTGTATTTGGATGGTCTCTAAGTTGTTTCCAGCTATGTCCTTCTATGATGCTATTATTATAAAAGGAATAGTAGGAGGAGGAAGTTGTAATCATTTAATATAACTTTCTCAAATGATAGAAGGTTTTAATAAATCCTAATAGGTTTGTGGGTTTGAACCTTTCAACATATTATGGTTGGTGACTGAGGAGGGATGCTGGGATGTTGTACTCCATGTTTTACTGATTGATGGATTGGTACTGGGGATGGAATCCAGGGCCGTTTAACCACTGAGCCACATCTCCAGCCCTTTTTAAATTATATATATATAATTTGATCATATAATATATATATATATATATATATATGTATATATATGTATATATATGTATATGTATTTATATTTAGAGACAGGGTCTCACTGAGTTGCTGAGGCTGATTTTGAACTCATGATTCTCCTTGCCTCAGCCTCCCAGCCACTGAATCACAGGAATGCACTACTGCACCACACCATGTTTTAAGCAGGCAACCCACTGGAGTGTAATTATGATATGATCTAATATATCCAAAGCAGATAGCTGTATTGCTTTAAATATATAAGCTAGTGGCCCAGTACTTGCTTGGCATCCATGATTTTTCATATTTATTTCTTATCTTGAGTCATTAGGTCTTTATAACAACTCCATTTAAGAACAACAGTTGCCATACACTGGCCTGAAGCAAATGTATTCAGTAGAAAAATGATTTTTTTGTTGTTTCTTTTACTGCTTTGTGTTTTTCCTTAGATGAACTGATCACATAGCAATGTGATATCACTAAAGGCAAAAGGAAGAACTAATGAGGTGCATCTGTCAAAGAACAAATATCAAACCAAAGAAACCCAAGTTCATTTCTACACATGGTTCCTGGGCTATCAAATCCCTCCTTGTATAAAAGCATCAGAAATGGGAAAAACAGCAGTACTGGTGTGAAAATGTAGACCCTGTTTTTTAAAATGTTTTTTTAGTTGTAGTTGGACACAATACCTTTGTTTTATTTATTTACTTATTTTTATGTGGTGCTGAGGATAGAACCCAGTGCCTCACACGTGCTAGGCAAGTGCTCTACCACTGAGCCACAACCCCAGCCCTAAACCCATGTTTAAATAGACCAATTCATTGTTTGGTAGTTTGCACTTTGAGTTACTATTTGATTCTGCTAATGCATATTGAAACAGCTGTGATCCTTGCAGCAAGGAGCAGTGGTGCACTCACCATCCATTGGAAGAGCAGGTGATTTCTTCATTATTACTTTCCTCTACTTTATTTCTGCGGACTCATTTTATTATTATTTTTGCAGTACTTGGAACGGAACCCAGTGCCTTGTGCATGCTAGGCAAGCAAGTACTCTACTACTCATCTGAGCCACATCCGTGGCCCACCTCTGGGGAGTTAGATACAGATACATACCTGGCTACAGCTTCACTGTATACAAAACCAGCATCAGCTCGCTTTACGATTTCAAAGCACAGATCAGCTCCATCCATACTGTAGAGAAATGTAAAAAGGAATGTAAGAAGAAATTCCAAAAAGGCAACACTGAAAGTGAATACACTGTCATCAAGTTATTTGTTGACTTATTGCTAATGACTGTATGTTATTTAAATCTCTTTTCTTTCAATGAAAAGCAGGCATAAATTATACAAGATATTATAACCATCTTAACATTGAAAACGTGCAGGAAAAGTAACCTCTAGCAAGAGTAAGGCAATGGAAGTATCCAATATCATGAGGTATGGAAAACTGACTATAAATTTTCTTTTCTCTAGTTTATCATGATAAGAAGTCCCAGAAAGGAGCAATGCTGGAGGCTGTGGACACATTTTGAGTCAAATTCTAAAATTACCGGTTTCTAGTCACGTAATGTAATACTTCAGGAATACAAAGATTTAAAACATTTCATTGTAGTTATCACCACCAAATGGGAAATTTGAACTATGTGTCGTGAAAGGAAAAAAGAATGAGCTGATCTATATTTTTGTTTACACTTCCGTTACCAAAGTTAATTGCTACAAATATATTCTAATACATTGATGTGATGGTCACACAGTGTTACTATCTGCTCTAAAACTTACAATGGTTCTCTCTTTCTCACAGGAAAGGTAAGATCTCTTGTGGTCTTGGCCACACCTGCTTTCTTCTATCTACCCTGTCCAATGGCATTTCAAGAAACCACACTCTCTAGCAAGAATGGTCTTCTTAGCACTCCTTGAATATATCATTTCTTTTTCCTTTTATTTTTTGGACATACACGTTTGCATAAACTGCTCTTCATAATCAATAACTGCCTCGATTCAAATTTCCATTCCAATCCCACTTCTTACGAAGCCCCCTCAATGGTCACCAGTTATATTAATGTCTTCCTTTGCTTTCTTCCTTTAACAACCTACACATAGTCACAACATTTGGCATTTACATAATGTAAATACATATACGCATATATGCACATGTAACTATTGCTAGGTCATTACTTATATTAATGAAATTATTCACATATTAACAGATACCATTTTCATGCTTTAAGCCTTACAAAATGTTTTCAAATCCAGTGGCTCAGTCTCCAGTATACCTGCTATAGGTATTATACTGAGGAAATAGAAACTTCTAGAAGGGAAAAAAGTCACTAACATACTTATTATGCGGAGCACTTCCTGTCATACCTCCCTTCAACTACCCCATGAGGTCAGAATTATTCTCATTCTCAAATGATCTGTGATTGGACAAAGATACAATAGGGACAGGATTCAAGTCTCTGGTAGCTGTGTCCAGTGCTCTTCCGGTTGACTACAGCTACACCTACTGGGAGTACAAAGAACAAAGGCACAATCTCAGACCCTATAACACTTCAACAAGAGTGTAAAGTTCTAAACAACAAGTAGGGTTTATACTTTCAACACACCCTTAACCAATACCCACCAGAAGACTGAGCACACAGTAGATATTTAATGAACAGCTGATTATATCATTTGGATCTTGGTGTGGTTTTATATAAATAAAAATACTTCCACATTTATACCAGGTTTCACGATTTTTACCTAGTTTCCATTTCACACCTGATGGACAGTTTCCAATGTTAAGTAGGGTTCTCTCCAAAATGTATCTGAGGGCCTAGTCTACTCTGAAGTACTGTATCACCTGTTTCCTACCATCAGAAATCAAGCCTGGGTGAACCTTTGTGAACAACTCTGATTATCTGTGTAGTAAAATTCTTAGGAGTGGGAGTTGCTAGGTCTAAAGTATATATACAATAACGTTTTCCATATACATACTACCAGAAACATTTTAAAATTAGAAAAAATTCATATTCTTTCTAGTGAGTGTGGATGTGTCCTTTCCTCTATCTTGTTACCAGTATAATGACTACTCTTTTTCATTTCTGCCAATCAGAGAGGAGAAAAAAAAAAGTCATTTGTTATTGCTTTAATTTACAATTCTTTGATTACCACAGAGGCTGAATATTTTTTGTTTCTTTGTACTGTGGAAGAAAAAAACTCCTATTTTTAAACCTGGCTGCAGTTTAAACTAGCTAGTTGATCTATGAGGACTGAAAAAAATATCTCATAGTGAAGGAATTGGTTTTGTTTAGGTGTTTTCCTTTCTAATTGTGCATTGTGAAGATAAGCACTGTTCAGCTGAGAAGAGGAGTTGGCCAAAGGAGAGAGCCAAATTGATTGCATAATAAATGTGATAGTCAGTCTTTCATTGCTGTGAACAAAATATCTGATGAGAACTACTAAGAGGAAGAAAAATTTATTTGGGTTAATGGTGTCAGAAGTTCAGTCTATGGTGAGTGAAGTCCATTACCATTGGCTGAAGGTGAGGCAGTGCATCATGGGGGAAGGGCCCAGTGAAGGAATACTGCTCAACTCAAGGTGGGATCAGGAAGTTGAGAGAGACAGAGGGTGGAAGGAGCCACAGGGAAGATACATCCTTCCATGGCATGCCCCCAATGACCCACCTCCTCCAGCCACAGCCAATTACCACTCAGCCCATTCAAACTAGGATAGACTGATTAGATCATAGCTCTCACATTCTAATCATTTCACTTCTGAATATTACTGCAAAAAAAAAAAAACAGGAGCTTTGGGGGGACACTTCCTATCAAAACCATAACAATAAAACATAAGAATCTGGGAGCTGTCCTGAGATCTAGAGGAAGACTTTTTGGAGGGACCTAAAGGGGAAAAGAGGAAAGGGAAATGAGGGCAGGCATGTTTGCAAAGTGGTGAGAAGCCAGAGCCTATGGGGTAAATCAGTCAATTAGAAAAAACTGGAAATTATTTACTGCCCTGTGCTATAATTAATAGCACTGTTCAATCTATTTTTTCCTTCTGATCATATCTGAAATACTAGTCCTTGAAATTACAATCTCTGCACATGCACATATATACACATGGGGTATTTTTAGGTTTCTCTTCCACTGACCTGTTTATTCTTGGATCCAGAATCATATCATTTTATCTTTTTTTATTTTTTGGTAGTGGGGATTGGTCCTAGGGGCACTTTACCACTGAGTTACATCCCTAGCTCTTTCATTTTTTATTTTGAGACAGAGTCTTGCTAAGTTGCTGATGCTAGTCTCAAACTTCTGATTCTCCTGCCTCAGCCTCCAAGTAGTTGGGATTATAGGAAGGCACACCTGGCTTATTTTAAATACTGTAATGGCACTTTGTGATATTTGACAAAATATATCTCATTTCATTATTCTTTTTTTCCTATGAATTTTTCTCTCAGATGAAAATTAAAATCATTTTGTTAAATTGTAAATCTTTAAAAATATTTTGACTAAGATGGTATTGCATTCATTTATAAACTAACTTCTAGAAATTAAATTTTAAAGACATTTTCATCCATGAACATGATATGTTTCTCCATTTCTTTTCATATATCTAAGTTATAATTTTAAGGTTTTCTTTATATTGGTTCCAAATATTGATTATTAGTTTCTCTCTCTATATATATACATATACATGTTATAATATATATATATATATATATATATATATATATATATATATATATATATATATATATATATGATTTTTTGTGTGGTGCTGGGGATCCAACCCTCAGGCATGTTAGGTAAGCACTCTACTGCTGAGCATATCCAAGCTCCAGCATTATATTTTAGTTGCATTATAAATGGGATCTTTTGGTCATTATGTGCTTTTTCAGTTCAGTGGTTCATAGCCAGAAGTGCCAAACAAAATCAGCTGTGTAAATTTTTAAATATGCAGGCATGTTCGATGAAGGATTATTCTGAAGTCATTGCTGTGAAAGTCCTTTTATTAAAGCTATCTGATTAGTTATTTATAATATTAATTGATATTAAAGTAAAAAAGCAATCTGTTATTTTAAATTTCATGATACAGAAATAAAAACTAAAAATACTGTTACTTATGCAAATTTTATTCATCACAGAAATTTAATATGTACATATTCATAATACAGTCCCGATATAATAACCTTGAACCTTTTAAACAAAATTGATAATTCAATTCTTTGATAAACTTTAATAATGTAATGATTCTTTAAGCAATGATAAAGCTTCTTTCATTTCTTTTTGTTTTTGGCTTCCTATCTTGGGGTGTTCCTGGGGCTGTCATGAATTTTCAAAAAGCAGGTTCTGAATTTCCCAGCTGTCTTCATTCTAAGGGAGTGAGATGAGAAAAAAAACCTTCTATGGGAGAATATGGGGAGTGCCTCTTTATTGTATGCAGAGAGAAATCATGGGAGATTTGCTCAGAATTAAAAAATGGTGGGATTATGAATGAGTTTAGCTTTCCTTCTCTTTCTTCTATCTGAATTTTAAATATTTCATCATGAACATGCTTGTTTATATAATTAAAAAATATTATCCCAAGGCGAGGCATCAAACAAAGAAAATAGATCACAGGTCTGGAGGCACAAGGTATTACTGGCTGTATACTGAAGGGGATCAGAATACACCACCCTCAAATATACCACTTTGGCAAAGGATTATTTTGAGCTGAAGGCATAAAATCCTGTGCTGTTATTTTGCATAAATTGCAATACAGTTTTTAAATGTTTACTCTCAATTTCTGTACCTATCTCTCAGCAGACAGGTAACAGATGGTCATCTGGCACTTGTCTACAAACTATTCTTTGAGAAACACTGTTATTAAGGACAGATCAAACCTGGATTTCCCTGACCAGCATTTTCCCTGAAGATGACAAAAATAGCAACTATAGAAACTGGATGAAATTAGACAAAAAAAATTGTTTAAGTCTTCAAAGTATTAACCATACAGGGAATGAAAAATTACCTAGTAAGAACAGGGAAAGAAATTAGAGCTCAGAGAGGTTAGCAAGAGCTGCTTCTGCTCTGAGGGGTAGAGTGGGCTATGGAAAGGAGACAGGGGTGAGGGGAGCTTTTGGAGAACTCTGGTAATCAGATGAAGACTGATAGGGCCAGTTGATTTTTGCACCAGTGTGAGATTGAATGATTCTTTGGTGGACTTCTGAAG